TACAGGGAAATTTTTGGAGTTCATGAATTACCTTTTTGATAGTGTTAATGGTTTATCTCAATTTCCAACAAATGGTAATATATTTCGTTGTGCCATTAACGATAATTCTGTACATATTAAATTCTGGAAAATTGCAAGGCAAGTGTTAGGTTCAATGTACTTTATTAAAAGTAAATATTCAGTTAGAACCATAATGAAAACTCCTACCATTAAGAATTGGATCAGAACCATAGATGGCTTGGAACATATATGGGGAAAAATCCGGTTAATTAATGGCTTTAATTTTTTGTGTACGCGAAATTTCAATCAGGATCCGTTAGAAAACTTTTTTGGCAGCATAAGAATGCAAGGTGGATGTAATAAGAATCCAAATTCTTATTCTTTTATATCCTCCTTTAGGACACTGATTATAAATAATTTATCATCTCGTCATTCGCCTTCTTCTAATTGTGAAGTTGATGACAATTGTGGTTTACCTGCTGCTTATCGAGATTTTCTTGATAGCGATCATGTTTTGAATAGAGAGGTTTTTTATGAAGAAGTTCATGAAGAGCCTTTTTTCTTTCAAGACGTGACGCTTTACAGTAAAACTGCCAATGCATATGCTGCAGGGTACTGTATTAAGAAACTGATAAGCAGTGTCCAGGATTGCCACACTTGTGCAATTGAGCTATTGGAAGATCCAATTGGCAAAGATGAAGCATCTTGGATTGAATATAAAGATTACACAGCAAATTGTCTGAAGGTTCCAGGGACAACATTTTTTGATTTATTTCAAAATGTTGTCAAGTATTGGATCATTTCATACAGACACTATGCACTGCAGACAATATTGAACTAAAACTATTAGAAACACTTGAAAAGTATGTTCTTCATGAATTTAGTTTCAGTTGCACTAAGCATAATTTAAAAGCCATTTTTTCCAAATCTATTGTAATATTTTTTATTAAAAATTGGTGCAACAGTGTTAATCGATGTCTCACGGGAAGATATGTCAATTATAATGAACAAGATATAATAAAAAGAAAAGCTATGGATAAATTTAATAAAACTCTGAAGTCTAGAAGAGCTTTTTTGCGACAAAAAAACCCTTATGTTTAATTTTTTTATTTGTTCTTGTCATTTTTTTTTTTACAACTCTTATTTGTTGGAAGAACATTCTTTTCCAGTATCTTTCAGGATAGTCATTAGTTTATATTGTATGTATTATGTATGTCTATATGAAATGTTACTTATACTCATTTTTCTGTTACCTGACGAGATTATATGTATAAGCTTTGATTCAATTTCAAGATCATTCATTCTTATGGTGGTAAATTACTATAAAAAGTGTTTCTATCAAATTCATATGCTGTTCTTATTTTTATTTATTCTTGAATATTTCATCCGCATTGACTTCCACAAGCCATGCAATTTTTTGTATGTACATTTTTATTTATGTTGATTAATTGGGGGACTGGCGATGCTATCAAATCAAATAGTTGATACTTCAACTGTATGCAATGTTCATATTTTTTGTGATTGTTTCATGAATGTGGTTTTATTTATAAATTTATAGTTATACATAATGAGGTTGTTAAATGTTTTAGCAAAAGTGGAAATTGTAAATAAGTTGCTACTTTGTGGAGTATATTTTGCTATACAGTTTATTTCCGTTTATTATTGGTGATAATACGTTTAACAGATGTCAAGAAGTATATAGATCATGAATTGTACAATAATTTACTGGATAACAGCAAAATAGTTTTCAAATGACATCCCCATATAGTAATTCATTTTAGTAAGCTGTTGATATGCTTTTCAGATGCAAGTAATTTTGGTTTTATCCTTTAATTAAATTGGCAAATGTGTTTGCATATAACTTTCTTGAACTTTTGTCAGTTACTGTTATGAGAACATAATGATTTCTTTTTCTTTGTAATAATGATGATAATGATATTTTGTTCAACATTTTAAAGCAGATTAACACGATGTGCAGAAAAGGTTTTCAGATAGAGACTATACATAGATTTAATGCAACTTAATCATTATTTGATTGAGCGCCAAAATAAATATAAACAGAGTTAATATACAAGAATATCTTAGGCATAAATTTTATTCCTTATTTTTGAATATGTTCCTCTTTTTTGATTGCAATATAAATTTATGACCTTGTTGAATTGTTGTTGCTGGGATTTTAAGTTAACTTTTGAGTGCATGAAGAGAGATCTAGTAACTTCTATCTCTTGTTTGGTTTTTATTATTTGGATCCATTCTCAATGCTTTTATTATATGGTATAGATAATGTCTAAATTATATTTATATTTTCTAGAAATCTAGAAATATATATATATATATATATATATATATAATTTAGACAGTTTTTTGGCATGAACTGGTAGGGCAGTTGTGTGAGCCGAGTTAAACTCGATCTCAAATCAGGGAAGAATGGTGTGTGATATCGTCTATTGCCATTTCATTCTGCAGTGCCCCAAATGGGCTATTTTTGAATAAGTAATTACTTACTTAACACAAGGCATTAAATGACCATGTGTACATATATACATGATGGATAATGTGTACATTTCTATGCTTTTTGTACATAGTTTATAAAGCTTACTACCATCCATTGTAATCATACATGGTATACATTGTGGATAGCGAGTACATTTATGTACATTTCTACGCTTTTCGTACATAGTTTATAAAGCTTACTACCATCCATTGTAATCATACATGGTATACATTGTGGATAGCGAGTACATTTATGTACATTTCTACGCTTTTCGTACATAGTTTATAAAGCTTACTACCATTCATTGTAATCATACATGGTATACATTGTGGATAACGTGTACGTTTATGTACATTTCTATGCTTTTCGTACATAGTTTATGAAGCTTACTACCATGTATTGTAATCATATATGATATTACACATATATATATATTTATAGATAACATGTACATTTATATACATTTCTATGCTTTTTGTACATAGTTTATAAAGCTTACTACCATCTATTATTGTAATCATATATGATGTTATTATATACAATATTAATATAACAAAATATTTTATATACAAACATTTATGCACATTTTTATGCTATCTGTGCATTGTTTATAAAGAGAACTACTTACTACGTAGTGTTCATATAATGTAAAATATTATTGTTAAAAATAAATGCTTTTTAAAATTCAATTTCTTTTTTTTTTAATTTTGAATATATAAAGAGAACTACTTACTATGTAGTGTTCATATCTTCTTATATATAAAAATGGAGCTCTCTTTCAAATGTCCGAATAAAACTCGAAAACGGCTGAATCGATTTGGCCAGTCTTAGTCTTGAAAAATTCGTGCCAATCCAGAGAAAGTCCAAATGGTGAGAAATTATTTCAAATCAGCGTAGAAACTTTACATTTTTAATTTGAAAATTTTTGTAGAAGCGTAATTTAAATAGAACAATGGACGGTGGCAATTTCGTGAAATGTCAAACGCTTTTAACAGATGATGTTCAATTACGTTTAATAGGATGTTTTACGCGAATATTATTTATTTGTGATAAATTTGTAGTAAGTAGTTTTGTTTGTAGTTTTATTTATATACAAAAACGTTAGTAAACGGGCCCCAAGTGTTACACAAAATATAAACTTTTTTGATATGTTAATATGAAAATGCATTTTTGGCATATTTTTCTCAAACACGGTGCTCTGAAAGATCTTATTTGTATAATTATATGCTCATTGGTATTTATAAAACATTTTCTAGGTTATATTATTTTTTATTTATGTATCGATAAAATGGACCTTTTGTCGACTAACATTTTTCCAGTTATAATTTCCCAGAATTTATCGCAAAATAGATAGTAATATATGAAGGTCCGGGGTTAAAAAGGCCAACCACCGATTTGTCAAAAATCAGTAAAGTTAAGCATTATTTAACAACAATATTTGAATGTAGAGGAAAAAAGATTTATAGCCAGCTACAAGCTTGATTTGAAAACGGTAATCTTTGAAATGGGGGAGATAAACGGTAATCTTTGAGAATCCATAATAAAAGTATTTTCTTCCGTTGGTAGTTTTTAAGCATTAGTTAAAAATGTAATTATTTTGTAAAATACCTTTAAAACTATAATAAGGCTTTAAATCTTTTTGCCACCTGCCCGTTTCAAGTTACCCCGCCTACAGGGTAAAAAAGTCTAGATAACAAATTTTTGAAAGAAGCATTCAAACAACACATCCTTATATACTTAAAGTATTAATATTTTTGATTCTCTAGAAATTGTCTAGAATATATCTTATTTAGCAAAACAACGTTTGCCGGGTCAGCTAGTCATAGATAAAAGTTCATATAATGTAAAATATTATTGTTAAAAATAAATGCTTTTTAAAACTCAATTTTTTTTTTTTTAATTTTGAATTCAAACGGTCTACAATATTGGTGTGTTTCTATAGTATTTTTTGTTCGCACCCATTCTACGGTCGACGCGTAGGGAGAGCAGCTCGAACTAGTTGTCAGTTGGCAACGCTCTTCTTTTATCTATGTGTCAAATGGCCTGAGATAGCGATCTATTTATGTTTACTTATCTATGGTCACCTACAACACAAAAATTTTAGAACACAAGAATGTCGTTATAACCGATGCATGCGTAGATAAATAAGCATAATCTTTGCGTAAACTATTTGATCCTTTTATGTTTATTTATCTATGATTTGATCTGTCATGGTCGATCCAATTTTCAATTCAAACCTTTAATATTCTTTGCCTATAATATGAGTTTTTCTTCTCGTACATAATGAACTCAAGAGCTAAAACATGACTAAATTTATTTGTCCGGAAATCTTATAGCATTAATTAATTATTAGTTAACATTACATTTTTATCAAATAAATTCTTCAAAAACCGAACATTTCGCGCCGAATACGATAAGGTTGGCAACAGTTATTTGGTTTTGCGCTTTTATGTGAATTTCGTCATCTATGAAAACCCATGAAAACACTGAACCGTATAATCGTTAGTGAAGTTAAATTTTTTGCTCATTGATATATTTTCATATTGTATAATTGGAATTAGAGCATTTTAGTGTTTAAGGCATTTATTGACATATTTATAGAACTCAATACTGTGCATATTATTTATTAATAATAAATATTTATTTGGTAAGTTTTCTGCAACTATTTAGGCTAGCTAGATATTTTACTGTCAAAGAAGAAAAACTAACAACTTACTTATATACTATTTGATTTAAAGGATTTACTTTGTGTTACTTATTTTATATAGATAGTATAACTGATATTTTATTTATGTATATATTAACTAATAATACCAATATCAATGTAGGTACAAGTTTAACTTCTGAAATGCATCACCAACATCGTTCTTCAAATGCTCCTTCGGAACATGATACATCACTTGTATCATCTTTAGATGTGTCATCACATACATATTTTAACCCTCAATCAGAGTAAGTTAAAAATCAATTGTATAATATATAAAGTGACACAGTGGCCTTGGACAACCAAATGTACTAAATAAATATATATATGTATATATATATATATATATATATATATATATATATATATACAGTGGCATCGGAAGCAAATTTTTGATGGTTGGTTTTTTTGTGATAGACAACCAGTGGGTTCGTTTTTTTTTAGACATATTAGACCATTAGACCATATCATATTTGAGATTGATGGGTGGGCTCAGGCCACCCAGCCCACACGGTTCCCAAAGCCACTGTATATATATATATATATATATATATATATATATATATATATATATATATTGAATTGAACTATATTAAAATTCAATAGCTACAATTTAAGTCATTTATAAATAGAATAATTTATAAGACATAATTATTCTAAATGTTAATTTATGAAATAATAGGGATTATTTAGTAAATAATTTCTAACAATATTTTTAAAAGTGTTTCTGGTTTTGCATCTCTATCTATCAGGTAGCCTATTTATAGATCTTGGCTCCTAATGAAGACCTTAGCGATGATTTAAGTTTGATTTTTGGGCTTATCGCAGTATTTATATTTTGATTATTGTGATCATGGATATGACTTCCCAATTGCAATTGCTTGTTGCCAAATATAAATGTTTGTGACAGTCAATATTTCGTATTTGATGAACAGCGGCATGCAAGGCTCTCGGGGAGAGACTCCTTTTATTGCTCTAACTTCTTTTGTAGATCCATAACTTTAGAAGTGTGTGCACCACTATGTCCCCTAAGCTAATATTCCGCATGAAAGGACAGAATGGAGCATAGCAAAGTAAGTTTTCTGGCACATTCCTGGATTTAAGAAATTAACATAAACGTGTATATACAGAACATGTTGTATTAAGTAATCTATACACAGTACAAAAAACGTATAGAGTTAGTTGGCAAAAACCCCAGATTGGGTATAGGCTAATAACTAATAATGAATTTGAGTTAAAAAAACTAAATTTGTGTACATAGTTGTTATAAGTCTTAGCTCTGAATGAATTGTGGTTACAAAGGTTCTTTAAAAAAGCTCTAAGACTTACAACAACTATGTACACAAATTTAGTTTAACTCAAATTCATAATTAGTTTCAAATATTTGAATTACTGATAGCTTGGTGTTACAATTGAATTAATTAGTGTAGTGTAGTGTTCAATTGTTTTTGTCTGTACATTTAAGTTCAATATGATTGCATTCATTTTTCTTTTCTGAATTAATTATGAAAAAAACTTTCCAGTTTTCCACTGGAATGACGGTTTCAATGAAGACTGAAACGTATGGATTAATAAAGCTGATTTCTTAATTGCTTTAGTTTTTTTTTACTTGGTGCTATTGCTCGACTCAACACACATGTTTTAATATACACCAAATTTACATACTATATATATATATATATATATATATATATATATATATATATATATCAATCCATATTATTTATGACTTTATATATATATATATATATATATATATATATATATATTAGAGTGGGTCCATTTGTATGGGTAAAAAAAAGTCGCATAGGTATGCACATATGATTTTCGAATACTAGGGATCAAAGTAAGCTACTTTGCCGAAGAAATCATATCTCTAAAATGAGTTTTGATGTCCTGTGCATTGACTGAAAAATAAGGGTTGAAATTTGAAAAATTCTATTTTGACCCATTTACAGTGCCCCAATTGCTTCCAAATGTACGACCCACCCCCACTAACTTTGGAAGGCTGATTCACCTATGCTCCTGATTCAACCCCTGGGACCCCCCCTGGCAGGTTTTTCAAAATTTAACCCTTGGGTCAATGCAGGGGACTTCAGAATATATATATATATATATATATATATATATATATATATATATTTATCTTATATATAAAATTATTCTGTAATGGTGTATTAAAGGATAATCCTCCTAAACGATTATTCGGAATCTTTCTGAAGTTTTTTAAGGGAATTTTTTAGGTTTTGCTGAATTATAGATATATACTTATAAATAAATAAATAAGCCTTTCATTTCTGGCTTTTCTACAATTTTTTTATATGGATTTACTAATTAACATAAATGAAACATGAAAGAACATGTTGTACTATATAATATAAACACAGTACACGATGTCGTGGGCAAGAACCCCAGATTGGGTATAGGCCTCCTCCAAAGATTCGTCGTTTTTTTTTTTTAGATTGTTTATATTTTATACTTCGGATTCGTCGATCTCTATGAAGTCATTCCTTATTTTTATAATATGATCTTGAAATAGTGTTAGTATTGTCACTGTACAGATTAGTATAAAACTCTGTAGCCATAGTTACAATGTCTTTTTGTTTGTGTATATATTTGTCCAGGTTTTTTAATAATTTTCTTCAGCAATTATTTGTATGAAGTGCTTTAAATGGTTTCTTTGTGCTAACAGAAAGCTGTAGTTGGCCGTTTATAGCGTCTTGGCTGTATTTTGAGTAGTCATTTCTTTTATATTTATTGATTATTTTGTACAAAGCAGAGAGTTCGTTTTCCATAGCACGCGTTTTATTCATTGTTGATTGTAGTGTTTTTCTTCTTTATAGCAGTCTTACTGTTTTCTCTTGTAATATTTTGTGTTTTTGCTTACTTGACTTGGTATCTGCAAGTTGTTGGCTTTCTAAAATAGCGTTACCAATAATATCGTAATAGTTTTGTATCATATCATTCCTTGCTGATTTGCTAGCACAGGTAATGTAGATTTAAGATGGTTTTTATAAATTTCTATTTTCTTTACACTTCTGAATAGGCAAATTGGTATTGGTAAATCGCGCTCTGCTTGGTTTATGTTTAGAGATTTTTACTATACCTCTGATTGCGCGATGGTTAGATGGGTAGTTCAGATTCAAGACTTCGAAGTTTGTAAATGATCGTAATTGGTTTGTGAGAATGTAATCAATCTCGTTTTTATGTCCATTCGGCGATTTCCAGGTCCATTTCCGGTTTGGTTTTTTATTAAAGCAGGTATTTACTATTGTTAGATTGTGTACGAGCGCAAAGTCAACAAAGACCTCCTATGTCTATATTGAGTATGGCTAAACGCTCTGATATACCAATAAAGCTTTCTATGTTGTTTTGATCTCCTTGTTTATTATGACCTACTCCGTATTGACCTGCTGTCTGTCCTATATAGCAAAGAATAAAGTTATCATATTCCTTAATTTCACAATCTTGACGTCTTACTTCTGAAATTCCCGTATCATAGTTTATAGTGCTTAAAGAATTCTTTAATTCTAATAGGCGTTCGTATGTTGATAGAGTCTTGACATTGTATGTATGTATTTTAAATAGGCAATTTTTATTGTTGTTCTATTTTATTTAAATAGGTAAATTTATTGTTAAGTAATAAGTCATATTGATCGTTCCTTTTAAGTTTATCATTTTATTGTAAATGCTTCTACACAATCTCTGTGTAGTTGTTATATATTGTTATTAAGTAATTCAGTAATTCATATTGATCGTTCCTTGTAAATTTATCATTTCATTGTGAAAACTTTTTTTACTTATAATTGTAAAATTAAATTATGTATAATAATTAATACATTTATAAAAAATTTAGTTGTTATATAAAAATGTTTGTGATATATTTGAAAATATATTTTGTACTTTGTATGTTTTTTTTCTCATTTCCAATATAAGAAATTATTTAGGTTTTCTTATTTTGAATTAAGTATGCGAACCATATCTAGGAATAACACCAGCGGTTAATTTATATACAGTACAAGTGCTGCCTCGTTCAGATCGCTGAAAACATTAAAATGGGGGTAATGTCAAATGGCCTGAGATAGCGATCTATTTATGTTTACTTATCTATGGTCACCTACAACACAAAAATTTTAGAACACAAGAATGTCGTTATAACCGATGCATGCGTAGATAAATAAGCATAATTTTTGTGTAAACTATTTGATCCTTTTATGTTTATTTATCTATGATTTGATCTGTCATGGTCGATCCAATTTTCAATTCAAACCTTTAACATTCTTTGCCTATAATATGAGTTTCTTCTAGTACATAATGAACTCAAGAGCTAACACATGACTAAATTTATTTGTCCGGAAATCTTATAGCATTAATTAATTATTAGTTAACATTACATTTTTATCAAATAAATTCTTCAAAAGCCGAACATTTCGCGCCGAATACGATAAGGTTGGCAACAGTTATTTGGTTTTGCGCTTTTATGTGAATTTCGTCATCTATGAAAACCCATGAAAACACTGAACCGTATAATCGTTAGTGAAGTTAAATTTTTTGCTCATTGATATATTTTCATATTGTATATTTGGAATTAGAGCATTTTAGTGTTTAAGGCATGTATTGACATATTTATAGAACTCAATACTGTGCCTATTATTTATTAATAATAAATATTTATTTGGTAAGTTTTCTGGGACTATTTGGGCTAGCTAAGATATTTTACTGTGAATACCCAGAAGAAAAACTAACAACTTATATATTATTTTATTTATAGGACTTGCTTTGTATTACTTATTCTATATGGATAGTTTAAATTGTTAATAAATATTTTATGTATGTATATATGAACCGTAATCGTTAATGACGTTTAATTCATTAGTCATGAATATATTTTCATATTGTCTAACTCTTATGCTCTTCTTTTTTATATAACTCATATACTCTTCTTTTATCTATGTGTCTAACTGCAATTAGAGCATTTCAGTGTTTAAATTGTTATTAACATATTAACATTTATTGACAAAACTTTATACTATGCCTAGTATTTTTTAATAATAAATATTTATTTGGTAAGTTTTCTGCGACTATTTAGTGTAGCTAGATATTTTACTGTCAAAGAAGAAAAACTAACAACTTACTTTATATACTATTTGATTTAAAGGACTTACTTTGTGTTACTTATTTTATATAGATAGTATAACTGATATTTTATTTATGCATATATTAACTAATAATACCAATATCAATGTAGGTTTACAAGTTCAACTTCTGAAATGCATCACCGACACCGTTCTTCAAATGCTCCTTCGGAACATGATACATCACTTGTATCATCTTTAGATGTGTCATCAGATACATTTAAGAACTTTCAATCAGAGTAAGTTAAAAATCAATTGTATAATATATAAAGTGACACAGTGGCCTTAGACAACCAAATATACTAAATGAATATATATATATATACTAGATAACCCGACAGACGTTGTCCTGTACCCAACTCTGCATTTTTTCGATATCCTGTACTAATATTCACCGTTCAGTTAAAATTAATAATTATTGTTTTTGAATTACTATTTACATCAATAAATGAGTGAATGTAGAACTGCTTATAATAAAATGATGATTCTCAATTCCCACAGTTAACACTTTAATTATCCCTTTAACAAATATTAAAATATGTTCAATAAAATTATATAATAAAAATTAAACACTGCAATTTATAGTACAAATTTATTTCCAATAGCTTAATTCATTCTAATGTCAAGGGTTATACAATTTTTTAGTCATACCTGTAGGTGTGGATGTAAAAATGAATGATTTTTTGTTTATTCACGACTAAAACATTGACTTTCCAAATGTATCATACAAAAAATCATTGCCTGCCTTTGTGATTTATAGCATAATTTACATGTGTTGAAAATTGAAGTTTTTTAAAGGGTATAACAAATTTAGAAAGAATTAATAAATAGCATTCCCGGTAAAGATACAATATCACATAGGTTTATTCTACCCCAAATAATGGCTTCAATAATGTTGCCTATAATTTTTATATATTTGTACCATATTTTAACTGGCTTTTAGTAATTTTTATATCTAAATTACAGTTTTCTCACTAATAAATTTATATACATTATTACTTAAGTTTATATTTGAAGTGAATTAATTTGTCAAATCCTGTTCACATGTGCTCTATTCAACCTACGATCAACAAAATTGCAGTAAATGGAGAGGAAAAGACCGTGTGTCAGAAATAGGCTAATCTTAATCTTAAATTCAGAAGTGAAAACAATTTGCACTCCGTCACCACCCACCGGATTAATTGAATTATAACTCTTTTAATTCTGATTTTATCAATACTTGCAATACACTATTTTAAAGGTAATTAAATGAGCTACAACTTTCTCTATCATAAATTTTACCGTAACTTCTCTTATTTTGAAATGGCAAAGGATTGAAGGACTCAAAAGACATTCTGGTTGTACACTATCAATATTTGTGTAGCAGAAAAGTAATAAAAAGCAATAATTGGTCAGTAAAAGACCTTGAATTTTCATTTATATACCTTTATACGTATCTTGTATTTTTTTAAATAGATTTTTTTTCATGGAATCATGAGCTTTTTGGAAATCCTTTGCACTAAAGTTATGGTATTTTCTAGAATCCGTCAAGATCTCTTAAACCAAGTTGATTCCAGAGGGAATACGATTATTTTTAATTTTGGTGGAAATGGCACTCAAAAACTATTTGCTTTAAACGAAAAAAATATTGTATGCGTCTTTTATCTGCATGATAGCTCACTCATCTTACACGCAGAAGTACTAATTTTAAAGCTTATTTTGAGTACTATAAAACCCCATTTTCATATCTAGCTTAATATTGTTCTTAGAACAATTTATAGAGCACCGATTTATTAGGATTTTGATTGATATAATTTTGTTCATTACATAATTTTCGTTTAAATGTATATTTTTAGAAATAATTGCCAAAAACGATGAAAAACGCAAAAGGCAACAAATTTTCAGTAGCCAGTAACTTGAAAAGTAATTTCTTTTTTGAAAAACATTATTAAACATTTTTCTATTCTAATTAGTTCTTTTATCGATATCCGACGTTAGTTTGAAAGAGATACAATTGAACCACTGAAAAGAGATGTCATCGCCCCGTGAAGTGGCAAATGATTCTAAATTATTTTTACTTTTAAACTTGAGAGTAAGATGCACCTAATTCCAAAATTTCGTGCAAATTGGAGCACATTAAAAATATTCAGACCCAAAATGCTCCATTGTCTTGAGTAAATATTTCGTATCCAATGCCAAACATATGAATTTTTGACACAGTGAAACTTCTAAATAATTGTTTGAATAAATAAATTATTTTTCTATCGTGGTTTAGTAAAGTAAGGCAAAATACGACTGCATTTAAAAGTTAAAAAATAATAATTAGTCAAAGTAAATTGTAGGCTAAATTTTATGTGCGATCACTGACAGACGCATGCGCAGACTGCATCACCTGTCAGACGTTGACTGTATCTTATACTAAATCTTATATTATTTTAATTTTTAGCACATCTCAGCTTCTTTTTGGCAATAATAATGTAGTCCTTACATTTTTCTTATTCATAATCATAAATATATTATATTTTAATATTGTCTTAGCCTATAAGTGAATTGGAAATGTTTGGCAAATGACAGTCGTCTTTTGTTTTTAATGTCAAACTATGCCATAAATATTTTCAAGGGCAAACAATGATAAGCGGTTTTTTGTAATTTTTTTCATTTATTTCTACAATCTAACTATATTTCTATGAATCAAAACATTCTAAAAAATTTCCCGAACAAACTTCAGGAAGATTCATGAAAATCCGAATTATAGTTTAGGAGGATTAATGAAACTTACATTGTTACAGAAGAATTTTATATATAAGATATATATATATATATATATATATATATATATATATATATATATATATATATGTAAGATTCTGAATTTGATGTTGACATATGTATTAACAAAGTGTAATATTTGGGCATAACATCAATAAAAAACATAATTTTCTTTCAAAAATTTATTTTAAATCCATACGTTTTGGCTATAATCCTAGCCTTAATTCAGTGGAAATTAAAAATAAAATTAAAAACTAAAACAATTGAATTGGAGTGAAAAGAAAAAATAAAATAGTAAATAGTACTTACAATTAGTTGATCTTAGGTGTTAAATTGGAAAATTTTAATAATCCATGGCATCAGGATATGGTAATGCACTACACTATGTATTATAAACATTAACTTGAAATTACACAATATTTTCACAAAATACTGATTTTAAAAAATCACAAATGGATAGGATCTACAAATAACACACTATCTATTTGTGATTTTTTTAAATCAGTATTTTGTGAAAATATTGTGTAATTTCAAGTTAATGTTTATAATACATAGTGTAGTGCATTACCATATCCTGATACCACTTAAGATCCACTAATTGTAAGTACTATTTACTATTTTATTTTTTCTTTTCACTCCAATTCAATTGTTTTAGTTTTTAATTTTATTTTTAGTTTCCACTGAATGAAGGCAAGGATTATAGCCGAAACGTATGGATTTAAAATAAATTTTTGAAAGAAATTCATGTTTTTTATTGATGTTATGATTATTAGACTTTGTTAATATATATATATATATATATATATATATATATGCATATATATATATATATATATATGTGTTTAATTTGAGTTTAATATTCGGGCGTAACATCAATAAAAATAGCATGAAAGTTTTTTTAAAAGTTTATTTATTTAAAATCCATACGTTTCGGCTAGCATCTTAGCCATCATTCAGTGGTAAACAAATTAACTATAAAAATTGAAACTAAATAAATTATATGAAAGAAAATTTCATGGAAAAACAATAATAATAATAATAATAATAATAAAACACTTACAATTTTGTATCCTAATATAGCATATGAAACCATTATCAATCCATGGTATGAGTATGTGCGCAATGATAAGATATATATTTTTTGACATCACAAATGGTAAAACACACTAATAACCATGATAACTTAACAAGTTGTCGAAACTATGTATTTACTCTTCGGAGTTTAAGACAGAAATGTCACATTTATCTCAAAATAGTTTTTAGCATGTGTTAAAATTTTTTGAAAAATTTAAAAAGCGATGGGATTTTGTCATTTTTTAAGAAATTTTGACACGCTATTAAGAAACCACGTGTTTGTTTCGTTCAGGGCCGTATTGTCGAAGCGTTTGTTTATGACCCTGTCGTTATGTAATTGCAAAAACAACCCTTCAGCAAATCTTCTTTTAATTATGTTCTCTTCAAAATGTAAAATTTTAGGGTTGAAAAAATCGATATTATGATTTAAATTTTTAATATGCTCAGTTAACATCGTTTTAAATTGCTTAGGGTTTTTTGAGTTGTTTTTATGTTGATGAAGGCGTTAACTCAGGTTTTGGCTAGTTTCTCCAATATAAAAGAGTTCGCAATTAGAGCAATTAATTTGATATACCAAGTTCCTGAGGCGGTCAAAATTAAACTTAGATTTAATTTGTGTAAAAATTGAACTAAGGGCTGTATCACAATTACATACCAACAAAATGCCACACTGTTGAAATAGTTTTTTTCACGAATGCTATTTTTATTGATGTTACGCCCGAATATTAAACTCAAATTAAACATATATATCAACATCAAATTCAAAACTATTCAAATATATATATATATATATATTATATATATATATATATATATATATATATATATATATATACAGTGGCGTCGGAAGCAAATTTTTGATGGGTGGTTTTTTTGATAGACAACCAGTGGGTTTGTTTTTTTTTTTAGAAATATTAGACCATTAGACCAAATCATATTTGAGATTGATGGGTGGGCTCAGGCCACCCAGCCCACACGGTTCTCGACGCCACTGTATATATATATGTGTATATATATATATATATATATATATATATATATTAATTTTTATAATTTTGATGTTGAGATATGTGAGATTCAGTCTTCAGAGCAATACATCAATCAAAAACTTGTTTGACTTTAAAACATTTTTATTTTTTCCATACGTTTCGACACATAGTTTTGTGTCATCTTCAGTGGACTCTAGTTTGAAGGCACAGATAGAAATTATTAATTAAAACTAATATATAAGAAGTGATATGGTATGAACTTACATGTAATTGTAATAATCCTGATTATTTCATAATTATAATTGTTCACAATGCACAATGAAACCAATTCTTGTCACTTTAAATTGAACAATATATAAATTTTAGAATGAGTTTTTTTATGAAATTGTAAAGTACATCCCGCTATTCCGTATTACGATGCAAGAGTG